CAACCATGCGTGTTGGTGTGTGGAGGTTCCACAAAAATCAAGTCTAGGCTCAGGGGGAGTTTAGCTCAGGATTAGGTTATCTTGAAGAATCCATGTTATTGAACAAAGCGGTAAATTAAGAAATTATACTTGATTTACGCGTTTGCGAATAAGTTATATTTGCTTTCTAGTTCCAGTGGATTTGATTACTGGACGTGGTTTCGGGGAGTAGGAATAGAACTTCGTCAAAAATACTCTTGTGTCTTTTATTTCATGCACACATATTTTGCCTCATTTGCGTTTTCATGTTCTGCATTTAACGTAGTTTGAAAATTCAAAACGAATACAAATTTCTTTCGTCTCCTAATATGAGGATTTAATGGGTTGGATTCTTAGTCTTTTTTTCTCTCTCCAATCTACGTATGTTTTTCAGATAAAATGTCCATTCTCCTTCTAGCAACAAATTGTTTAGAGATTTTTTCGTCTTGTGTAAACACTAAAAATAGTCCCAGGAAATTGGGTTCAATAACTAAAAAAAAAATTATAATTCAAACCATAACCATTTTTCCATAGTTCTAGTGGATGTCATTAATCCATAGACTCATTTTAGTTACTTAATGAATTATAATTTTTTTTTTGGTTATTCTTACAAATGACCCTATAGATAATACATGGAAATTCTAAAAACAAAATGGGAGGGTTAGATCTAAGTGATGAGCATAATTTAATCTACGTATGGTGGTACAGTGGTCTCGTTTTTAAGTACAATGACCCAAGTTTGTTATAGCCTTAGGTTCAATTATAATATGAGCAAACATTATTTTTGTGGATTACTTGATCATTTGGGTTATGGTTACATATGTAAAGATTTGTATGAACTTTTTTACTGAAAATATATTCATTCTCAAGATTAGTTCGACGTTTCCACAAAAGATGGATATTCGGTTCTAATTTGAAAGAAAATAGTACGATTGTTAAAAAAAAATGCTGACTAAAAATAATTTCATTCTCAAAATTAATTGACGTTTTGCTGATCATTAACGTATATAAACGACATGAGAAAATATAACGTTTATATTGCAAAAAAACTCAAATGTTTGTGGATAACAAAAAAAAAAGTGAGATAGTGAAAAAAAGGTTGATTGTTTTTGTTGCCGGCACTGTGAG